TCAAGAAATTTAACACTGGTCAGTACTACCAAACATATTGCTTATATTAAAATTTCCCTAATTGTTCAAGTCCTTGCTAGCTTTTTTTTCCTTCCAGCCAGGACCCAAAGTTCACTGTGCATTTAGCTGTGAAGTTTCCAGTGTTCCCTAGGTGTTTTATTTTTAATCCACTCTATATATAAAAGCTTACATCTACTTACTCCCAACCTCCCACTCCTTCTTTGTCAATTTTGATAGAGTTGAGGGGAAGAATTAGTCTTTTCCTAACTCCAGCATCCTTAAGTACATAGTGCACAGTAAGCAGTCCCCTGCCAGGTGATGGACAAATCTCAAACATCTGGCTGCCTTGAGCTCATTAAATGTCTCAGTTCAAAAAAAAAAGTCCCAGTTCATTGCAGTATTGAAACATTCTTAGCAAACTAACATAATCCCTAACCAGGGGATGAGGAGAGAAGGTAAACTGGTAAAAATACAGAAACCCAATGAGAGAAACAAGCCATGGAAATAGATACCTGGAAGGGGTAAAATCCATAGTAGTACTCTTGGCCCAAACACATTTCACAACAGTCAAGAATTATTGTTCTATACAGGTACAGAAATGAACTGCCAAAGAGCTACCAGGTATCAGTTCAGTTCAGTCGCTCAGTCATGTCCGACTCTCTGCGACCCCATGAATCGCAGCACGCCAGGCCTCTCTGTCCATCACCAACTCCCGGAGTTTACTCAAACTCATGCCCATGAGTCGATGATGCCATCCAGACATCTCATCCTCTGTTGTCCCCTTCTCCTCCTGCCCCCAATCCCTCCCAGCATCAGGGTCTTTTCCAATGAGTCAACTCTTTGCATGAGGTGCTGGGAACAAAAGCCTGCCATATGTATTTTCCTTTCCCACTTCACAAGAATCACCAGTTAAACAACATGAAATTCCAAGAGGTCTGTTACATATGCCTGGAGGCAGATTTCCAACCCCCATCTTTCCACATGCTTCACATAACTAAGATAACACTGTAACAACTTTGAAACTAAAGAAGAGAGTCAAGCTTTCAAATCTTTAAACTGAGAAGCCTTTGAACAGTGTGGGAGGGTTCCAGAAGATAAAGTTGTGTAATCATTGAACAAGCAGGGCCAGAAAGAACTAGGATAAATTAAGACTGACTCAGCTGATCATCTTGAACTCCAGGAATTAATGGTCTGTGCTCTGGGCAGTTGGCTGGAGCCATGCTACACACCAGTTGGCAAGTTATTACACTTTAACTTTTATAAAACCCTCCAGCTGTCACAACTGCTTTAAGAACAATGTTCTCAAACAGTATGAACCAAGAGCTGGTACTCAAGTCACAAAACAGGAACTGAAAGAACAAGCCTAGTGGTGTTTAAATGAGGCAAGTGTTGACCGACTCCCTCAGTGACTCATATTACTGGTTACCATTTGACCCAAGTTTATAAGGTGTTAAACTAAGGAATATTGCCACAGAAATAGCTTCAGATAGCAACATAGCAAGGGGAGAAACAATATTGTTCAGCAGAACTTGACACTGATCATGATTCGGGCTCTCATGTCCTTTGCTAACTCTCCCTGCACAGCTCTGTATGAGAGTTCAGTTGTAAAAAAGTTTTCTTCGTAAACTACCATCTTTTGGCAGTTAGGCTTCAGAAAGAGGAGCTGCCAGATGTACGTAACATGAAGTGGGGGAAGCATAGAATCCGGTTTGCACGATTAGTATTTTGTGGTCAGGGCTTAAAACCAAAATGCAAACTCCATATTTGCACATTTCCATGGTGACTCCACTCTCTTTCAAGGTAACTGAAATAAAGACAGGACAGTGCTTCTGAAACTGACTTGCTAACTCACACCTCCTTTTGGGGAGGAAATGGGAAAAGTAACTGAAACATTAGTACCAACCACCTTATCAAAATTCTTAACTTTGGGTGTTAATTCTTCTAGCTCCTTCAATCACCTCAAAAGGTTGAGTAAGATAGAGTGATACAATAACTGCTATTATGACCCTCCTTACTTTCAAGTTATACCAACATTTGGTGGCTAAAAGAAACCAGGACAGGGTATTGATTTTTGTATTAAAATGTACAGAAACGGCTCCAAAGTACAACAGTAATACATGTAATTAAAAGCCCAACACCTCTAATTTGAATGAAAGGAGTTATTCTAAAGGGAACTGACCTTCACCCTAAGGCAAATCAGCTTTATGGAGCTTTTGCTGGTTAATTCACCTAGACTGTACTTATTTGCTCAGCTGACTTCCCTCAGATGCTTGCCTAAGAGGGGGAAGGAAAACAAGCATTGATTAGAAAACACCCATATCACACCTTGCATTTGAATAAAATATTTATTTTCTTCTTCTCAGGAAAAACAGGAAGTTAGGGAAACACACTACATTTTATAGCCTACATTAGTTTGTTGGTCCTAACCTTTCTTGGCACAGCTGTCAAAAGCATTAGCTGTTTTAAGCAGAACCAAGGTGTTCACCCCCAACAGAATGTACATAGACAACACTAAAGGACTGCAGGATTTTCCCTGAGAGAAGCATCAGACAGAAGTTGTTGAGAGCCATCTTTCCAAGTAGCCCCTCCCTTTCCGTTGTGGAGGATTTGCCTGCCCTATGGCAGCTGGTCAACACAACATATGCCTCTTCTCCCTACGGAAGCACTCACCTTGCCCCAAAGCACTTGGGCTCCCTAAACCCTTATCACCAGCTGCTGACCAAAATATCAATTTTAGATACTCCTTTACATTTCAGCACTCATACCTAGTAAAGTGGAAATGGGACCCCTAAATTCCATCAATTTACATCTCTGTGCTTATTTTCACAACTGGCTATGGGGAAACAGGCCTTTCAGTCACCTTAACTAGATCTTAAGATTAATTAACTATATAAAGTGCTTTTAGGTCCTTAGAGATAGACGTGATATAAATAAGTGATTTCTGATCAACAATGATAAATACACAGATTAAAAAAATAGCTCTAGCTAGATGACCTTAAGGCTTAGAGATGGGCAGGCAGGGCAATTGTTCCCTTATTACATTCTTAGTCATTTTATTCATGTCTATTTTTGTCTGGAGTCCACAAACTAAAGGTCACATTCAGAGGTTGAAGTTTTCAAATGATCCTGGTTCCACTATAGTTTTCTTCAGTTTACTAGTAACTTTTATATAACTTTGAGGTTTAACAGAGCCCATCAATTTTAAGTGAGCATATTCAAATGCAAAGGTCCCTAAAGAAAAATCACCTAAGAAGTTGTCCCCTTCTCTGAAATCCCCTAAGGGGACTTTTGAAAATTTCTCCCCAGAGTTAAGCAACAACCAATAATATACTAGTACAAGAAGGGACTCTTCTCACCTCATGACTGTTACTGTCAGCATCCACTGTTCTGCCATCTCCTAAGATAAAATTAAAAAATGAGGAAGGTCGGTGGACTCCGTGGGCGGTCACTTAGGTTCCTAATGCCAAAAACTAAAAGGGCTAGTAAAGAGTTCAGGAATGGCAAGATAAATTTGTAGGGACTAATATAAATATGTGTAGAGGGAGCAGAATAAGCAGCAAATATTTTAAGGAAGAATAGGAAATAAACAGTAAGTTAGATAGAACATCAAGTCTGAAACCTATAGAGATGCCAATGTAAAAATCTGAAACAAAGTTCAAGAATCATTAATAAAAATGAAGTTAAGTATTTGTTTTATTCAGACGCTAGGCTTAGACCTGTGTTTAACAAGCAAGCCTAATAATAGCACCATGGTTAGACTATAGCTTGCTTTGCCAAGCCATTATTGTACAATTTATTAAGCAAATAGGGGTCAACTGTCTCTCATCCATCTGATGTGATCTTTTTATACATATTCCTAGGAAGTCCCATTTGGAACAGCTGAAAATCTTTTAGCAAAAGCTTTGAAGATGAGCTCATGAACTCAGTTTAAATTGCACCAGTTAAATTAGGTCAAATGAAAGGAACCCAAAATAAGTAGTTGCCCAATCAGAGCCCATCATCTGAGAGTCATCAGCCTGTGTGTTCCGCCCCCCAAAAGAAACCTTAAAACCTTGACTCGATTATTGAAAACCCAGGTGTAACAAAGTGAAAGGATTAATTTCCATTAATTTCTCAGTCCCAGGTTAAAAAAACAAAAAAACCCCAAACAGCAGTTTAACAAATACCCAAATCAAGATAAGAAAATTAAAGCCTGCATAGTTATCAAAATTGTTGTACTACACCAGGTTGCATACAATTACATCAGCTGGTTCTGTATACAATCTAGTATTGACTAGAACAAAGATTAGAATAGAAAAGCTGTAAGAAACAAGTTAACACTAGTCTGCAAAAACATAAATTTTTACAGACCAATACAAGTTTTTCAAAACTCAACATTCCAAATTTGTAATTCTATTCCAACTTTCAGTATTCTTGGCCATGACATTAGGCAAAGAATCCCTCAAACCCAGCCAAAGCAGAACAGGTATAAACATCCTGAGCATTTGATCTATTGAAGAATCACACCTGGGAAAGCTAACTACAGAGGACAAAGTTCCCTTCACGCGCTGCGGTACAGTACTGAGGCTTCTTGTCATAGTTCTATTACTTGTGGCTTAAAATCAGTTTTACATATCCCACTGGCGTTGTTAGTGCTTCTATTTTAACACTATAGAAGTTTATGAATTCAGTGGGCGTATCTATGACTAGTCAGTCCACTGGCCAATTTCCTGTTCTAGGTAAAGTCTCCACTCTAGCATCTTCACTAAAACTAAAATGTCCATCTCCATAGCTTCCCAAAGTTTGCCTGTTGCTGAAACGGAACTCAGCTTCTTTCAGAGACTGACTCTTCAAGGGAGATTACTTTGCTCATGTATTTATTCCTGTTAGCCACAATCTTCCTGTCACTTGGTTTTATCCATTGTTAGATGACGGCCAACTTCATAAATACTTGTGAGTTCACAGCGGTGATTTTGGTGGCTGTTTTGGTGGCTGGAGAGTCAATTATTGCACTTAAAAGGCTATCTTATTAGATATGCCAAACCAGCTCCTACTCCGGCAACACCTGCAAAAGCCAGCAGCACATTTCTGATGCCGCCTTCTAGGTCCTCTACATGGAAGAACTCCACAAACCCATCCTAGAAAATGAAAAAGAAAAGCACATTTTCAAGCACAGGCTTCCACTGACTTAAGAATACTATTTACAGGGAAAAGATGAATTAAAATATCTAAGATTTCCCCCCAAACCTAATGACGAACCAATTCTTTACCCCCAACTCTGCGAAGGAGACATTATGCAATTAAAAGGGAGGTGGGGCACGCTCAAGAATGTATTAACTATCATCCCCAGGGGATTCTTCTTTCATTTCTTCATAATCTGAATTAACTGGGGTGAGGAGTAACCATTCGAATAATAAAATACCCAAAGCAAAAGACTCAAACAGTAAAACAGCCTAAGAAAATCAGGAGTTTTGATGCAACAGTTCAAGACACTCACACCACCATCCTTACGGACCAACTACTTAAAATCAACACCATGCAACCAGAGGTCCCCAATTAGAGCCTTGAAAACCAAGCTGTGCATCTTAAAAAACCTTTAGATATCCTCTCTCTTATAAAATCCTCCATCCATTTTCACTCCAAGTCCCCTATTCGACCTTAAAACAAACTTACCCAGCCTCTTTGTTTGACTATCCAGTCTCGTTTTGACCTTACGAGAACATCTGTGATGCTTTCGGCTAGTGGTTCGATGCAGCTTTCTTGATTTATACTCTTCAAGTGTTTGGCCACAAAGGCACCAAAAGAAATAAGAGTCACAATCCTGCCCCAGTTTGTTACTCCGTCACTGAAAACATGAACCATCACTCGAGACAAAGATTTGACATCGTCTTCGTTTTTGATGTCCAGTTTCCGAAGCATGCCTGAGAGGAAGAAAAGCATGCAGGTTCCCACGGTCGCTTTTGTCTACACCAGGGCACGATTCGCCTGCCCACCCACGGTGGGGGAAATCGCTATTCGGGCTCTACCACGCTCTGGGCGATCCCACTTGAAAACTGACATCCCACCCTTTCCGGGCTTTGAACAGAGCTGCCATTTCCAAAAGAATTAAGTGGGCGGAAACAATGACTCACGGCCAGAATATTCGGGTTTCAGAAATAGGAGAGTAATACAGACTCGTTTCTGTTTCCACCCACCGCAGATGGGTGAGTCCAGAGAGCTGGGAAAAAAAAGGCAGCACGACTTCCAGGACTAACCCCCTTACCTTGGAAAGCCGTCTCGTGGTTGCGCTGCACCCCATCCCCGACTCGGCGCAGGGTCTCCAACGCCTTCCGGCTGGTGGCCCCAGACCCGCCCAGGGGCTTCGCGTCCTTGGCGCCGGTTGCCTGCTCCCGGAGGTACTGAGAGATAATCTCCAGGGACTGCCGATATAACTCGTCCTCCTCCTCCTCTGCTGGGGGCGGCGTCGAGGGCAGCGAGCCGTCCGAGCCTGGACTGTTGTTACTGGCTTCCCCGACCAACAAAGGTAAAGACCGGACGGCAGGCCGCTTCCCGAGAGGGTCTGGCTCGCACCCGTCCAGCTCCTCTTCGGGCGACATGATGGCGTCGGAGATCGGGGATTCCATCTCTTCAGGCGGCGACGCGTGGCGTGTGGGCGCGAAGAACAGCAGTCTGGTGGGGGTCGCAGTGACGTCGGGGCCCTCGGCGCCAATGGGCGAGGGCCGCGCGACCCTCCGGGCGTCGGGCGCAAGAGTGGCCGGGGGGCTCGGGCCGGCGCTTCCGCCAATCACCGTGCCGGTTTCCCCTCCCCCTACCTCTCGCCGCGCCGTGGCCTCCTTCCCCGCAGCCAAAAGCCGCCCCCCGGGAGAGGAGGCGCCGCTGCCCTGTCCTAATCCGGCTCCCCCACAGTAGAGGTTCAGTCCGATTACTGCGTTTCTCTTCAGGCCGAACATCGTGAACCGATGCCGCTGCCGCCGGAAAAAAGCGGAGCCTGGGCCCAATTCCTAACTTGAAGAGAGCGGAAGTAACCTCTGAGAGAGGAGCTCCGAGATCACGGTTTTAGGGCCAGTCCTACGCAATGGCGTCAGCAACTCTTAAAAAAAAAAAACACTGTATCCCTTAAATGGGGAAGGCTGCGAAAGCTTCCGGCGGTTGCGCACGGCACCTAACCGGCGGGGTCAGGGCAGGGGCGGGGCCTGCGGCAGGGCGGGGTTTCCGGCTCCCGGGGCCTCTCGCGGCGGGTTACGTAAAAAACGGCAGCTCCGGCGCCTGAGCCGGTGGGCTTGCGCTCTGGCTTCGCGCCCACTTGGGCCTCCTATTAATGGCTGTCTCTGTGCTTCCCTAAGCCGTGGTATGCGAGCACCTGCTGTTGTTTTTGTGCAAGAGGTGTTTTTATTCCCCCATTGCCAAAGCCTTAACTATCGAGTCACTCAGACTTTGAGGAAAAGGGGAGTAAATTCTGTTACAGATGGGGAACAACAGTCTTAGATAATATGGATTAAATAAGAGGGCACTGTTGGGGATCTATAGTAATTTTGCACATCCTCAGCTCCTTGAAAATGGGGAGGCTCAATGTACTGCCCTATTGTTCCGTCGCTCAGTCGTGTCCTCTTTGCGACCCCATGGACTGCAGCAAGCCAGGCCTCCCTGTCCTTCACCGTCTCCCTGAGCTTGCCCAATCTCATGTCCATTGAGTCGGTGATGCCATCCAACCATCTCCTCCTCTGTCATTCCCTTCTCCGCCTGCCTTCAGTCTTTCCCAGCATCAGGGTCTATTTTAATGAGTCGGCTGTTCACCTCAGGTGGCCAAAGTATTGGAGCGTCAGCATCAGCATCAGTCCTCCCAATGAATATTCAGGGTTGATTGCCTTTAGGATTGACTGGTTTGATCTCCTTGCAGTTCAGGGGACACCAGATTTGAACACCACAGTTCAAAAGCATCCATTCTTCTGTGCTCAGCCTTCATTATGGTTCAACTCTCACATTCATACATGACTACTGGAAAAACTATAGCCTTGACTAGACAGAACTTTGTTGGCAAAGTAATGTCTCTGCTTTTGAATACACTGTCTAGGTTTGTCATAGCTTTTCCTCCAAGGAACAACCGTCTTTTAAATTCATGGCTGCAGTCACCATCTGCAGTTATTTTGGAGCCCAAGAAAATGAAGTCTGTTACTGTTTCCATTGTTTCCCCATCTATTTGCCATGAAGTGATGGGACTGGATGCCATGATCTTAGTTTTTGTATTTTAAGTTTTAAGCCAGCTTTTTCACTCTCCTCTTTCACCTTCATCAAAAGCCTCTTTAGTTCCTCTTCGCTTTCTGCAATAAGGTTGGTGTCATCTGCATATCTGAGGTTATTGATATTTCTACCAGCAATCTTGATTCCAGCTAGTGCTTCATCCAGCCTGGCATTTCTCTTGTGTATGATGTATTCTCATATAAGTTAAACAAGCTGGGGACTGCCCTATAGAATCACTTTATGTAAACTGACAAAACAAAATTGTTCTGCTCCAGCTAAATTTTATTTCTGTCTCCCTATTTGCTTTCTCCCATTCCCATCTCTATGCTCTGGTGCTATTTACCTACAAGCCTTGCTCTGTCAGCACCTCCTCTAAGACCTTTGACTCTAGGGGTAAACTCCTTGAGGAAAAGGATCCTGATACATACCATCTGTATGAATTAACATTTATTGAAGCAACTTCTTTTTGTTAAAAGATCTGTAAAAATAATAGCTAAAATTCAAGAGCAAAATATTTGAGGGACATAAGCAGGAAAGGTGAGCAAGTTTCCTATTTCTGAAACTATTTGTTTAGTAAGGAAATAGGGCATTCATAACACACAATTATGTATTTGGGCAAGACCTAAAACCAGGGCAATTTATAATATGTGGTAGAGAGGATGGAGAGAAACATCTTGTGGTTGTAGTGAATAAGAAATAGTTTCTCTATTTAAGGAGCTTCCAATCTTGCACAGCAACTAACCATAATGTGAGATGGAATTTATGCTTTATAGGAGGCATCAACAGCTTAATATTGGAGTTGAGAGGTTGGAAAATTCACTTTAGGCTAGGCGACCTAGAGGAAGAAGACATTATGGAAGTCTTTTCAGCTCTGCTTTCTAGAATGCAGTTTTAGATCAAGGGGGGAGAGGTTGAGCAAATTTGTGTGCTCAATGATGTGGTGGGAGGTGGGAGGGAGGTTCAGGAGGGAGGGGACATACATATATCTGTGGGCGATTCATGTTGATACACTGCAGAAACCAACACAATATTGTAAAGCAATTATCCTCCAATTAAAAATAAATTTTAAAAAATTGTGAAAGCTTTTTCTTCAGAGGCTAAAAAAGGAAATGCATTGCAGGTGTTACCTTAATTATAGCTAGAAATCTCAAGTGCTCAGTAATCTGATTGCATTTGCTTAATCAATTCAGTCTCCTGTGATCCAAGATGACTACTGCACATCCTCTCTTATGTCCTTAAGCCTCCCATATTCTCTCCTCCCTTCTTCACTCTCAGCTGTTAACTGACTTCACTGAGAAAATGGAAGCAATCACAAGAGAAAAACTTTATTTCTCACCACCAAGTTACTTATTTACTCCTGTTTCCATTCTGTTTGCCATCACTATGGTTAAAATGATTGAAGTTTCTCGGCTATCTCAGATCACCTGCTTGTGCACTGGATCCCATCTTCTTTGCCTCCCCAAGTACTTGCAGTTATCCCCTGCATCAATTCTCTCTATACATTGAATAATTCCATAACCAAACAAACAAACTTGATGGTCTCTCTCACATCGTTAGAAAGACTTCCCAGAACCTAAATTCTTTTTTTTTTTTCCGGTTGCACTGCATAGAATGCAATATCTTAATTCCCTGACCAGGGATTGAACCTGTGCCCCCTGCAGTGGAAGCTTGAATTCTTAACCACTGGACCACCAAGGAAGTCCCTAGAACCTAAATTCTTAATGTTGCCCTGTGTAGCAAAAACCTTCAACTTCCTTAATTTTCTCTCTTGAACCCACCCCAACCAAGCTTTCATTCCAACTACTCCACTGAAACTATTCTTGTCAATGTCAGCAATGACCTTCACATGGCCAAACTCCAATTGTTGATTTAGAGTCCTCATTTTACTTGGCTTAGCAGTATTTAATACGTATTTAATCATTCCATTCTTGAAACATTTTCTTCATGTGATTTTTTGGGCACGGTAGTCTCCTGGTTTTTCTTCTTCCATACTAGTTACTCTTCAGTTTCTTTTATCTTTTCCACCAGCAATCCGCTTGGATACCTTGTTTTCTTTTGTAACTCTAGCTATGTCTGACCCATGGCAAACACCCCATTGTTGAATGGATAAATATGAATGTTTATTAATATGGGTTATACAAAGGCTAGAAAAGCAGGATGGGGTCATATTATTGAGGACTTTGAAAACCAGTTGAAAAGCTTAGAACTTTTCTAGGCAGTTGGGGACCTCTAAGAACTAGAGTGGGCTCCCCTGGTGGTTCAGTGGTAAAGAACCTGCCTGCCAACACAGAAGTGGATTCGATCCCTGGGTCAGGAAGATCCCCTGGAGAAGGAAATGGTAACTCACTTCAGTATTCTTGCCTGGGAAATCCATGGGCAGAGGCGCCTAGTGGGCTACAGTCCATGTGGTCACAAAGAGTTGGATATGACTTTGCAACTAAATAATAGCAACAAGAACTACAGTACCATGATATATGCTCTAATTTAGGTTTATTACTCAAATTGTTGGTTTTAGAATGGATGGAGAAAGGATTGGAAGTAACTAAATTAGGCTACTGCAATGTGATAGGCATCATATTATAGAATTATTGGTGACCTGAACTCAGGTGGTGGGAGTGGAAATGGAAAAAATAACATGACATTGTGGAGGAAGGGTCTATAGGACTTAATGACTAAGAGGATGAAACAACACAGTGTGACATTATCATAAAACAGGCATCCATATTATACAAGATTAACAGGCAAACCACCTCCCAGACTGCTGTGGATGGCCCTAGAGAAGCACTACTCTAACCAGTGTGGGGAAGGGTCTATACAGCTCAGAGGCAAGGAGTCAGCATGTTTCCAGCATGTCCAGGAGGGCTTGTCCTCAGGGAATTTTAGTTCATTTAGAAGATCTCTGCTTCCCCAGTGACTCAGCTGGTAAAGAACCTGCCTAGCAATGCAGGAAATGCAAGAGACACGAGTTGATCCCTGGGTAGGGACGATCCCCTGGAGAAGGAAATGGCAACCTGCTCCAGTATTATTGCCTGGAAAATTCCATGGACAGAGGAGGCTGGTGGGCTACAGACCACGGGGTTGCAAAGAATCAGACATGACTGAGTGTGCACATGCACACACACATCAAGAATGGCTCTTGTTCTTAGGATAGCTATACTGGCCACAGTCCTTAACAGGAAAAGCACTGTTGACATCCTGACTATGACATTCTTTCTTGTAGGCACGTATTGAATCCTTTGAAACGTCCCCAAACTGTGAGCACATTTCCTCCTTAAAATGAGGCTTTGTTTCAAAGAATTCATTTACATCATTTCTTTCAAAATAGAAAAAAAAAAAAGTCTTAGTGTAATATCTAAGATATACTCTATTAGCTTTGTTCTCCAGTCCCTGGGGTCCGAAATTGGGCATACTTAGGATCTCATGTTGCCTTATGCTTGTGCTCAGACTGTTATGTCTGACTCTTTGCAACCCCATGGACTATAGCCCACCAGGCTCCTCTGTCCATGGAATTCTCCCAGCAAGAATACTGGAGTGGGGTGCCACTTCCTCCTCTAGGGGATCTTCCTGGCTCAGGGATGGAACCCATGTCTCTTATGTTTCCTGCACTGGCAGGCAGATTCTTTACCACTAGTACCACTTGGGAAGTCCCCCGTGCTGCCTTCTCCCTTTCTAATTAGAAAACCCTTGCTCTTATTCTTACTGTCTCAATTAC